AACTTGTCTGGTATTTGTCATTGTTATTCAACACATCAGATCTATTCTTGATATAGTCTCCACAATCAGGTGGCATATACTCAAGGTTGTACTTTGGTTCTCATGGACTAGCTTAAATTTTCTTCAGCTTCAACTTGAGCTTTCATAGGAGCGATTGATGGTCTGGTCCACAGTCAGCCCCTGGTCTTGTTCTGACTGATGATATTGAGCTTCTTGATTATCTCCAGAAAGCAGGAAGGGGCAGAAAAGCTCTGAATAGAAATGTAGAACCCAAGGGGGAAGTAGGGAGAATGCTGACATGGAGGGGATTGCAACAAATGTCTCAAACAGTGTATGTATAAATTGTGGAATGGGTAACTAATTTGCTTTGTAAACTTTCATCGAAACCACAATAAAATGTTCAAAACAAGTGAACACACACACAAAACCACTCTATGAAGCACAATTCTACTCTGACACACATAGGATTGCCATGATTCAGAACTGACTCAACAGCAGGTTTTTAATCTCATAAAGAATACGTCTATTGAATCTACATGTGAAAGATTGCAGTAACACAGGGGTAGGCCTATATGTTGTTTGTCTACAAAGTGATCTCTGGGAGTGGGTTCAGTTCAAGTTTCAAAGAGTGTCTAAGGGCCATAGTCCTGGGAGTTCCACAAGTCTCTATCAGACCAGTAAGTCTGGTCATTTTTATGACTTTGAATTTGTTCTGCATTTTTCTCCCACTCTGTCCAGGACCTTTTACTGTAATCCTTCTCAGAGTGGTCTGTAGTGGTATCTGGTCACCATCTAGTTCTTCTGATCGCAGGGTAATGGAGGCTGTGGTTTGGTCCATTAGTTCTTTGGACTGATTGTTTCTTTGAGTCTTTGATTTTCTTCACTCTCCTTTCCTCCAGTTGAGGAGAGACCAATGGTTGCATCTTAATAAACAACACTTTTTAAAATTGGCTGCAATGTGGAATTTTAAGCCACATCATTTTCAGAGCTCTGGTGGCGTAGTGCCTAAGGCATTTGACTGCTAACCAGAAGGCTGGAGGTTCAAACCCAGCACCCGCTCCTTGTAAGGAAGACTGGGCAATCTACTTCCATAGAGATACCATCTTGGAAACCAAAGGAGGGGTCGCTATGAGTCAGAGCTGACTTTGACAGCAGTGAATTTGGTGAAAGGAATGAGAGTGAACAAGGCAAATAACATCTTAGGATTATTCTGAAATTCTTTTGACTTCACAGATCCCTGAAAGGGCCTTGGGAATTTCCAGGGGTCTCCCAACCACACGTTGAGAACTGCTTTCCTGATGTCCACAGAGATGCTCTTGCCACCTGTGGATGGTGGCAGACTGTGGTCATCTCCAGGAAAGTCTATGAGTTAGGGACCTTGGAAAGACCTTCTCATAGTACAGCTGTGAGCGTGTGCCTGGCACATGTTGTGAGCTGTGGTTGAGTCAGTGCCCGATGCCTGGTGACCTCAAGCACAATGGAAGAAAATGCATAGGGTTTTCAATGGTGCAAATAGCCAGGCCTTTCTTCCTAGCCCGTCTGAGTCTAGAAGCTCCACTGAAATCCATTTAGCATCATAATAATACACAAGTCTACAGTGACAGATGGATGGTGGGGCTGCACTTGAGGTGCATTGGCCAGGTATCAAACCCCAGTCTCTTGCATGGAAGGTGAGAGTTCTACCACTGAACCCCCACTGCCCCCTGGCACATGTAAGGCACTTAATAAATGACTGTTCTCCTCTTCCCCTTCTTGGCAGTTCCAAGTCAGTGGCTGATAGGATGACCATGGAGCCCTCATGCTTGGCCTCCTGGGGCTCAGGAACAGAGTCTGCCAGGCCCAGGGAAAGAAGTGCCTGCTCCTTCCCCCCTACCTTCATGCTGACACATTCCAGCCTCCTTATCATTTCAGCTAGAGGATGGGCTGGCCCATGAGAAAGAATAAGCAAAAGGAGGCTGAGTCATGAGCAGGGGCTCCTTGCAATGGAGAGGTGCAGGTTCTCAGTTGCGGAGACAGAGGTATACACCCCTGGATGCTTTATATCTTTCAAGCTCTGTGACCCTGGGTAAGACCCTTTGCCTCTCTGGGCTCCGGATGAGTTCATCTTTTGGGTTTTGACAAGGATTGGACATTTAACGAGTACCCAGCCTGATGTCTGCCAAGTTGTGGGGCTGGTAGCAGCCCATTTCCAGGTGATTCTTATGAGTATTGGGATTTGAGAAGCAGTAGGCTGAGCTGCTGCCTGTTTCAGAGGTGAGGAAGTCAGCCCAGAGAGATGAGGTGATTGGCCCAAGGCTGCACAGTGAGTGGTACAGCCAGTCCTTCTGATTACCAGCCCAGGGCTCCTCACTTCTTCAGGCTGTGAGTCAAGAGTGACCACTCCAGGACTCCCAGATGTGGCAATGAGCCTTCCTTAATTAGGTTACAAAAGAATAGGTTATCTCAGAACCCCAGCAGACTTTGGGGACCATCAGTTTCAGGCCTGACAACTCTTCCCCCACCTAGGTCCCCTGTTAACATGGCTTCCTTGGCCCTAGAAGGATGTGCCTCTGATGGGCCCACCTTGATCTACTGTGATCAGGCAGAGCTTCTGGTCAGGGCTGCCTAACTAGGGTTCCCACCCCAGGCAAGGACACTCAAGGGGACTGATATACTAGTGACCTATTGCTGTGTAACAAATTAGCAAACAATGGTTTAAAACAACCAACACTTATTGTTTCACAGTTTCTGGGGACTAGGAATTCCAGTGTCATCTAGTTGGGCCCTCTGGTTCACATGTTGCAGAGCTGAGGTGTTATGTTGGCCAGGGCTGCTGTCAGTTTAAGGCTCCCCTGAGGGAAGCCTTGCCCTCAAGATGGTTGTTTGTTGGCAGAATTCAGTTCCTCGGCTAGCTGGCTGTTGGCCAGAGACGGGATGGCTGACTTCCATCAAAGCAAGCATGTGTGTCCGCGAGAGAGAGGCTGCCCAAGAGGGAAGCCATAGTCTTATTGAAACCTGATTTCCGAAGGGAGACATCTCTTTGCTTTTGCTGTATTTTGTTGGTTAGAAGTGAGTTACTAAGTCCAGCCCACACCCTTAGGAGAGGGAATTACATAGACTGTAAACACCAGAGGTGGCAATTACTTGGGCGTTCTTAGAAGCTAAGGAGCTCTGGTGGTGCAGTGGTTAAGCCTTTGGCTGCTAACCTTAAGGTTTGTGGTTGGAACCCACCAGCTGCTCCATGGGAGAAAGATGAGACAATCTGCTTCTGTAAAGATTTACAGCCTTGGAAACCCTATGGAGTAGTTGTACTCTGTCCTTTAGTGTTGCTATGGGTCAGAATTGACTCAACAGCAGTAGGTTTTTGGTTTTCTGAAGAGGCTGGAGGTCCTGGATGGTGCAAATCGTTAATGTGCTTGGCTGCCAATCCAAAGGTTATATGGCCATCTATTTCCATAAAATTACAGTCATGAAAACCCTATGGAGCACAGGTCTGCTTTGACATACATGAGGTCACATGAGTTGGAATCAACTCACTGGCAGCTGGTCTTAGTATCTGTCTACCACATCTGGAAGAAGAATCTGTCTTGTTCTACAGGGAAAAAAACACAGGCCATTAGGATTTTTGAAAGTCTAAGTGTCCCTGGTACATAACAACAACAACAACAACAAGTGTCCCTTGAGCTCAGGATCCCCACCACCAGCACCCATTGCACTATAGCTGGCTAGAGGTCCAGTAGACACAGACAGACTGGAGCCACTAGATGGGGCAAGAGGAAAGCCTGTGGTCCAGAGTGCCTACTTTAAGGGGTGTGTGTGTGTGTGTGTGTGTGTGTGTGTGTGTGTGTGTCTGTGTCCCTGCTTTGGCCAGGACCTTTGCCTTTCTCTCTTCTATCTGCTTTTACTCCCTCTGATCAGGCTTGTGCATGGGGATGGCCTTTGCCTTGTCTGATTTTGATAAGTGAGAAGGGTTGTTGGGCCACATTACCTAAGAGGTCGCATGATGCCTGGGCCACATCAATTTTTGAAGCTCAGCAAATTAAAACTGAGCAAATGCCACAACCAATAAAACCAAACTCACTGCCGTTGAGTGGTTTCAACTCATGGTGACTCCTTCTTGGGTTTTCAAGGTGATAACTCTATGGAAGTAAATTGCCTAATCTTCTTTCCAAGGTTTGAACCTCCAGCCTTCTGGTTAGCAGTCCAATGCCTTTGGCACTAGGCCACCAGAGCTCCCAAGTCCAGAACAGGGTTCAGAAATTGCAGCCTTTTGTAAACGTTTCCATTGAAGAAACTGACATCATTAACACATCTTTAACACACAAGGCAGTGTAATTGTGCTTTTGCAAGGAATGACAGGGCTTGCAAAGAACCTTAGTTTGCAGGCCAGGAGAGAGTGGGCAAGTGTGGTCAGACTCAGGCCACCAGTTCAAATATTTGTGACAAGTGTCATCTTCCTTAATCCTACCAGAAGATTCTCTGTGCTTGCCGGTAGAACCTTCTCTAAATTGAGATTACTTCGAAAGTCTAAATAGGACCTTTTGCTAATTTGTTACATTTACATAGCACTATTGTAAATGCTTTAAAAGATCATCTCCTGTGGCTTTGCCCTCCTTCTGGTTTTAATAATGTGGGAAGGATTGTCTTCTGAGCGCTCCTCAGAGGTTGAGAGAGATGCAGGCCACTGCTAGTTAATTTAAAAATGAAAGATAACAAGACAGGCAATTGCTTACCCCATGCTGTCCTCAACACAACCCTAGAGCAAGATGTCACTGTTACCATCATTTTAGAGAGGAGGAAACTGAAGCACAGAGAAGGGAGGGGGCATCTGCCCCAGGTTACACGACTGGTGAGCTCTTTAGCTTTTCTGGGTACTCTGCCTGCCTCAGATAGACTGTTCCCCAAGTATTCTAAGATGTTCTGGGGTGTCCACATGGGAGGTGGTGTGGCCAGGCTGGGCTGGCAGCCCCTTGTTCTGCTGCGGGGTGTACACTGACCCCACCCCTCTATGTGTGTGTCAGATGAGCAGTCAGGACAGCAAAGGCGAAGGCGTGCTTATCGGGAACTGGTCAGGAAACTACAAACGCGGCGTGGCCCCCTACTTGTGGACAGGCAGTGCCCCTATCCTCCAGCAGTACTACACCACGAGGCAGCCTGTGCCTTTTGGCCAGTGCTGGGTGTTCTCTGGGATCTTGACCACAGGTACTGGGGAGACCAGGGGCCGGTGGGAGAGAGACTGAGGGAGGGCCTCCCAGCCCACACAGTCACCAATCACCCTGGCTTGGTGCCATTTCAGTTCTGAGAGCCTTAGGCATCCCAGCACGCAGTGTGACCGCTTATGAGTCAGCCCATGACACGGAGAAGAACCTCACAGTGGACATCTACGTGGACGAGAAGGGCAAGGTCATCTCCAATATGACCAATGACTCCGTCTGGTAGGGTCCCTCCTTCCTGCATGGCCCTGCCTCCCTCCTTCCATCTCCCAGGAATTTTCTAGCCCAAGCCCTGCCTCCAGACCTTCCTGTCCCTGAGATCCTACTCTCTTCTGGGGTCCCTACCACCTCTTTCAGAGACCAATTCAAGTCATAGGCACCTTGAAATTCAGTGTGTTTTCAAATTTGCCCTTGGAAGATCTACCAAAATCGCCTGAGAGTGCTTGTGAAAAATGCATATACCTGTATATGCATGCATATGACAATATGCACATATATTCATATATAATAATAATATTAATAATAATAATAGGGGACATAATTTCAGACTTCTTAGATATAACCAAACACCTCATAAGATTGGTTTTCTGAATTTGAAGGATTAGGGTCATAGATTCATGGGACAACTCAGTCAGTTGCCGTAACATACAGTTCATTAAGTTAGGTTCTGCATCCTAGTCTGGTGAGTAGCACCTGGGGTCTTAAAAGCTTGCAAAAGGCCATCTAAGATAGAACTACTGGTCTCTACTCATTTGGAGCCAAAGAGAAAGAAGGAAACCCAAGATTCAAAGAAGAAACTAGTCTACAGGACAAAAAAAGGTACATGAACCGCAGTCTCATCTATCCTGAGACCACAACAACTAGATGGTGCCCAGCTACCATTACTACTGTTCTAATCACAGATACAATAGATGGACCCTGGTAGAATGAGAGGTAAATGTGGAACAGAACTTCACATTCCTAAAGAAAAAAAACAACTTACTGGGCTGGTTGAGACCAGAGAACTCCCCAAGACTATTGCCCTGAGATATTCTTCAGACCTTGAATTGAAACTAACCCGTGAGGCTACTTTGTAGCTAAATAACACATTGGCTCACAAAGTAATGAACATCAGCCATAAGTACTGTGCTCCTTTAAAAAAATCACTTATATGAGACCAAATGGTCAAAAATTACTTTGAAACAAAGACAAGAATGTAAGATGGCAGGGAAACTAGATTAATGGAAACAGAACAACCAGAATAGAAATAAGAATGAGAAGTTGCAGAGGGACTGGAGGAGTCAGCAGATCAGGGTATGTCCAGTTGGGCTTGGAGCCAGGCAGGGGTACCTGCTGTCACAGCTTTCACTCACCAGGTCTCTCTGAAGTTCTGGTTCATGTAGCAGGACCAGTGGGGAAAAAGAGATGAAACTACTGAAAGGAGGCACTAAAACTGCACTACTTGCAGATGATGTAATTATTTACCTAGAAAAACCAAAAGAATATGCTTAAGAATAACAAGAGCTAACATGAGAGTTCAGAGACTGGCCAATTACAAAGTAAACTGATGAACAAAACCAGAATCCTAGTGAGTGGTAGTCTACAGCCCAGGGAAAGATGAGATCTGCTATTTCTCTCTCTTGCTGATTAATTTGTTCATCCAGCAAACACTGTATAGGCACAAAAGAGACCTAAACAAGTAAGATTTGGTCCCTGTCTAGAGGACTTCACTGTAGCGAGTGGTAAAACTTCCCTGGTTCTTCAGGAGCCATAGACCAAATCAGTGTCTGATGAGATTTACCCCACCCCACTCTTACACTTAGCTTTCAAGGCAAGATGGGTGGGACTCAGAGACAGCCCACCCTTGTCAGTGTTGACAAAGGTACCCTATTCCTGAGAACCATCTCTGTGGGTCCCTGGCCATTTTGGCAGGTATCTCTCTCACTGTGTTTGGGGGTGGGCTGGGACGGGGCTATTCCTTACCTGCTGCAGGAATTTCCATGTGTGGACGGATGCCTGGATGAAGAGGTTGGATCTGCCCAAGGGCTGTGACGGATGGCAGGCCGTGGACGGCACACCGCAGGAACTCAGCCAGGGTGAGGGGGTAGGCAGGGCGGGCAGGAGGGTATGCTGGGTCTGATACTTTCCTCACCTAGCCCTGGGTTTTGTGGGCTTTGGGTATGTAGTTAAGAAGGTGTGGATAAAGATTTAATTAAAATTTTCCAAAACAGAAAGCATGCTCAATCATTCTTGCCATTTCCACCCAGCAGAGTTTTTGTTTGCCAAGCATTTATAAAGATAATGCTAATAACAACAACATAGTGACAATAATGGTAGCAAAGAACATTGGCAGTTTAAACACACCAGCCATTCAGCAGAAGGAAGACTGGGCAATCTACTTCTGTAAAGATCCACTGCTTTGGAAACCCAATGGGGGTTGCTATGAATTAGAATTTGACTCGATAGCAGTGGGTTTGGTTAATTTTTTTTTTGTACTATGTGCCTGGGCCCCTGGGTGTGCTGGTTATGTTTGTGTGTCAACTTGGCTGGGCCTGTTTGAGTGGCTGGGAAGCTGGTGGTAGTTATTCCCATGATGAGACTGGCAATCAGTCCCATGGTGGTATCTACCACAAGCAGCTGAGTAGCAGCTGCCTTTGGGATGTGGTCTGCTTCCTATATATAAAGAGAAGCTTTGAGAATGGTCTCTAGTTTATGGCACCTTGAACCTGCATGTAGCCATGTCATTCTTCAGCAGCCTGCCATGCTCTGGCAACCTTGGGAGTTACAATGGACTTGAATTAATGGTCTGCCATGTGATTTGGTAATATCACGATCGTGCCTTTTTACTTGTCAACTTTGGGCTTGGCAGCCTCAGCAGCCAGCAGCTGTCTGAGTAAAGAAAAGCCTCTAGCTTCAGTGGGCCGGGAGCAGGAGGCAGAGCAGAACCCCAAGGTTGAGGGTCTTTCACCCAGCCTCTAGAGCCTGGCACTTTGAACTTGGACTTAAAGCCTCCAAAGTGTAAGAGAATAAACTCCTGTTGTTAAGGCCATCCCATTTGTGGTATATTCTTGTCAGAGTGGCACTAGGTAACCAAAACACTGGGTTAGTGTTCTGCTGTTAAACGAAATGTTAGTGGCTCAGATTTACTCAGCAGTGGTGTGGAAAAAAGGCCTGGTGATTTGCTGTGGTAAAGATTGTTGTTGTTGTTGTTGTTATGTGCCGTCGAGTCGGCCCCGACTCATAGCGACCCCTCCTTGGGTTTCCGAGGCAGTATCACTACGGAAGTAGGATTGCCCAACCTTTCTTCCGAGGAGTGGCTGGTGGGTTTGAACCGCCAGCCGTCGAAACCTATGGAGATAGTTTCTATTCCGTTAACACATGGTGTGGCCGTGAGCCAGAATCAATTTAATGACAATGGTTTTCTTTTTTTTTTTCCTTTTACTGTGTTCTATGTAAAGAGCCCTGGTGGCACAGTGGTTAAGTTGGTTAAGTGCCCAGCTGCTAACCAAAAGTTGGCAATTTGAACCCACCAGCCACTCCACAGGAAAAAAATGTGGCAGTCTGCATCCACAAAGATTACCTTGGAAACGCTATGGGGCAGTTCTACTCTGTCTTATAGGGTCAGAATTGACTCAGTGGCACACAGCAACAATAATGTTCCATGTGCAGTACTGACAGGGTCCCATTTAACCCACAACTGACTTTTCAAGATCAAGTCTGTCATTATTCCCATTTTACAGATAAGGAAACTGAAGCCCAGGGAGGTGAAGTGAGTTGCCTGAGGTCATGCATCTCCAAGTGGCAAAGCCAATATGGGAGCCCAAGTTGGATTGAAAAGGGCTGATTGTTTGTGGTTTGGTATACCTTGTCCTGAGGAGCTCTGGTAGCGTAGTGTCTAAGGCATTTGACTGCTAACCAGAAGACTGGTGGCTCAAACCCACCAGCCATTCTTCGGAAGGAAGGTTGGGCAATCTACTTCCGTAGTGATACCGCCTCGGAAACCCGAGGAGGGGTCGCTATGAGTCGGGTCTGACTCGACAGCACATAACAACAACAACATACCTTGTCCTGAGTAGGACTGTAGGCCCTTGTAGCTGGAAGGATTTTGGAGAATGTCTTTGTAGAGGTGGGGAAACAGAGGCAAGAGGCTGGTCTGAGGATACTCAGAAAATTTATGAAATCAAGTCATCTTTATTATGAACAGTGAGGGCCATATTAAAGTCTGCCAATAAAGAGAAATAGGTCAATAGTTCCCAAACATTTTTTAGAGCAAACAAGCTCTTCAGAAGGAAACTGCATGAGATATCCCATTGTGTAAAAGTAGAACTGCTCCAGGTAAAGTGTAACCAGGGGATCAGCCTGCCCCGACTCCCTGATACCCCACCCCCTCCCACAGTCCCTGAGGCACTGCAGCCTCTATGGGATGCTAAGGACCTCTGAAATGCTGTTAGCAGGAGTGAAACCAGTCTACTTTTTTCTCTTCAGCATTACCCTTGTAACAGGGGATAAGGGTGAAAGGAAGTGTCCCTGAGAGATGAGAAGGGCCAAAGATGCTCCCATATGGCCCTGCGTTCCATGATATGAGTCTCAGCAGGGCAGGCTTGTGAGTTCCTTGGATTTAGGGAGTCTGGTTGCATCTGCTGAGGTGGGGACAGTGGCCATGGCAATGAGGCCATGAGCAGCCATGTGGCTATCAGCCTAAGAGGCAGAAAAAGCCCTGTTACCTGACCAAAAAGGGACCTTAGAAGTCTACGTAACCTGCCAACTTTATAGATAAGGCCAGAGACGGGGATGGGGATACCCAAGGTCACTCAGCAAGTTAGGATCTGAACCAATGTCAGCTTAGGGGTCCTCCTGAGTGCTAGTCCTCTGCTATGCAGAATTCACACATTTGGCTGCTGTAAATGAGGAAAGGGAGAGGAGTCATATGTTGAGTATTAAATAAAAGAATGGGAACACCACGTCCAATACCTAGAATACAAAAAAAAAATAAAATAAAAATAAAAAACCTCACTGTTGTTGAGTCGGTTCAGATTCATAGCGACCCCTCCTTGGGTTTCCGAGGTGGTATCTCTGTGGAAGTAGATTGCCCAGTCTTCCTTCTGAGGAGTGGCTGGTGGGTTTGAACCACCAGCATGAAAACCAAAATTACAACTAATTGCCACTGAGGAACTGTGAGCCAAGAGATTAATTCAGACTAAGTTGTTAATGACTGATAAAGGGATTTTTTCATCCACTTGCCAGAAATTTAGAAGAGAGAGCTTAGGATGGAAATGTATCCTATCAGCCCAAATCAGTAACAACCGCTTACATTTGTTCCAAGCACAATACTAAGTACATGTGTTACTTCATTTAATCTTCACAATAGCCTTATGAAGTAGGTAGTGTTTTTATTCCCATTTTCTAGGAAATGGAAGCTTAGAGAGCTAAAGTAACTTGCTCAAGATTACATAGCCTCAAGATGTGAAGCTGGAATTCAAACCCAGGTCATAACAATCCTGTGCTTTGCTGGGATGAGTTTAATGGTGGTGGTATAGGCAGTGTGGCTTCTTCTTATGGGAAAGATTGTTTCCTTGACACTCTTGAAGCCAAAGCTGAGAAATATGTCTCTTTTCAGAATAAAGACAGGCCACAAAATGAGCACTCCAGATCTTTCTGCCCTCTGGGCAAAGCTTGTTGACAGTCCTGTTTGAGTCTGGGAGTCTGCTGTCATTTCCATGGAGTTAGGAATGGATGAGCTCTAGTGGTGTTTGGCTGCTAACCAAAAAGTCAGTGGTTTCAAACCAACCAGCCATTCCATGGAAGAAAGACAAGGCAGTCTGCTTCCGTAAAGATTTACAGCCTTGTGAACCCAAGGGAGACTGCTATGAGTCAGCATCAACTTGATGGTAGTGAGTTTGGCTGCTTGGCAGGGAAGACAATGTGAAAATGGGAGGCCCAGCATGGTCTAGGCAGGGTGGGCCAGGAAATCCCACTGAAAATGTTCCTCCCTGGCTTCTCTTTAGGTAGCTTCTGCTGTGGGCCATCACCACTGGCTGCCATCTGCAATGGTGACATCTTCATAGGTTATGACACCAAGTTCATCTTCTCCGAAGTGAATGCTGATCAGCTTATCTGGATGGTGAAATCAGTGAACGGAAAGAAGGAGTTCAGTGTGATCTCAGTGGACGTGATGAGCATTGGGAAAAAGATCATCACCAAGGCAGTGGGCCAGGACAGCCAGAGGGACATCACCAATGAGTATAAGTACCCAGAAGGTGGCTAGTGCTTCAAGGCTCTTTCTAACTCAGGATCACTAAAAGCTGATCAAAGTGAAGATCAGAGCTTGGCAAACTTTTTCTGTAAAGGACCTTATAACGAATATTTTAAGCTTTGTGGGTCAGATATTTCCATCTGACCCTATTTCAGCTCTGATGTTGTAGCTATAAAACAGTACTTAAATGTGTGAGTGTGGCTGTGTTCCAATAAAGAATTTTATTTAGGATAATAAGTGGTGGGCCAGATTTGGCTTATAGGCCATAATTTGCAGACCACTGGTCAAGCTGATGATAATGATGATAAAGATCAAGAATAACTGCATTGGTTTTTATTAATATATCATTCATCAGGAGTCTCTGGGTAGTGCAAATGGGTAAAACATTAGTCTGCTAAATGAAAGGTTGGTGGTTTGAGTCCATCCAGAGGCACCTCTGAAGAAAGGCCTGGTGATCTACTTCTGAATAGTCAGCCATTGAAAATCCTTTGGAGTGCAGTTCTACTCTGACACAAATGGGGTTGCCATGAATTGGAACAAACTCAACAGCAACTGGTATCATTCACCATCACCAATAGTAGCTACCATTATTATTATCAACCATTTATTTTTGTTAATAATAATCATGAATGCATAATTATGTTTAAAGCAAATACTGCTTGAGCATTTACTACATGCGAAGCCCAGTGCTAAACACATTTCATGCCTCACCTCATTTAGCCCTCCCAGTAGACTGTGAGGTTTATGTTCTACTTCACATTTTAGAGTCAGAATTGTCAGGTTACTGGCCCAAGCTCACAGAGCTAATAAGTGACGAACCAGGTTTTGAAGTCAGGTTCCTCTGACACTGAGCCCTCATTCTTCACTGTTGTATAATACAACCTCCACAGATCCTACCAGAGCCAGGGACTTCTCTGGAGCCAGATCTGGTGTGGCAGGGACCTGGGCACATGAGGTCAGGCAGTATGTCCTAGGCTTTCTGGTCTGATGGGCCATTTGGCACATGGGATACCATCTGCAGAGACTGAGCCTTCAAAAGGGTGGGATAAGCAGTCCTGACAGGGAGGATGAGGCAGTTTGTAACACACTGAATGCCAAGTGTCTAGAGAACATCTAGAAGGGGTGGGTTGAATTCGAAGGCTGGAGCTGGGGCCAGGGAATGGTCAGCTGAGAGGTGGTGACTAAACCCAATAGAAGGATGAAGTCACTTGAAGTGTGGGCAGAGTGAGAAAAGCATTAGGTCAAGAAATGCCAACATTTTGGGGACAGACAGACAAAGTCCTCAAAGAAGGAAGGCACGTGGAGGAAGAAGAAGAGGTAAGAGATTAAGTTCCCAGGGGAAGAATTTGCTCAAGCAGCAGTGGTCACCAGGCCCAGAGGGTGCTAAGATAAGGATCAACAAGTGCCCACAGAATGAGCAAGTTGGAAGGGTGAGCTGGAGTCTCCTTGAGAACAGAACCAGCGTTCCAGAGCCCCCAGAGTATAGAAATCACCCAGGGAGGTCCTCGGAGTCTTAGTTCCTCACTCACCAGGCCTCCAGCTTTACCAGAAACTTGGAAATCTACAGGTCAGGTTTCCTGCAACTCTTTCCAGTTAAATGAGATGTTCGGATAACCTGAGAGATCAACAAGGGCCATAGAAAATAGCCCTAGTGCTCTAACTTGAGGTTTTTTAATACTCTGAGTTAATCTAGATTTTAAAAAATAAAACCAAAAACATTAATTACTGGATTTGGAGCCCATGGTCCCAGACAGGCCAGAGACATAGTTACCGTCATAGCTCCTTCTGGCAAAGGTCTTTATTCACAGGTCATGGTCCAGTCAGGGACTATCTGTATACTAAATACATACAATGATTTTTTATTTCCATAAGGCGAGTAGTAATGCTGTCTCTTTCATTTCTGATTTTAGTAATTTGTGTTTTTGCTCTTTTTTTCCTTAGTCATTTTAGTTAAGTTTGTCAATTTTGTTGATCTTTTCAAAGAAGCAACTTTTGGTTTCATTGATTTTCTTGATTTCATATGTTTCCACTTTTACTTTTATTATTTCCTTTCTTCTGCTTGCTTTGGATTTAATTTCTTGTTTTTTGAGTTTCTTTAGGTAGAGGGTTAGATTATGGATTTAAGATCATTATTCCTTTCTAAGATAGGCATTTACAGCTATAAATTTTCCTCTTAAGCACTGATTTAGCGGCATTCCATAAATTTTGGTATGGTGTGTTTTTGTTTTCATTTATCTTAAAGTGTTTTCTAATTTCCTTTGTAACTCTTCTTTATCTCATTGGTCATTCAAGAGTGTGTTGGTTAATTTCTCTATATTTTAATTTTATAAATTTCCTTCTGTTATTGATTATTTCTTTCATTGTGGTTAGAGGACACACTTCGTATTATTTCAATCCTTTTAAATTTGTCAAGACTTCTTTTATGACCTAACATGAATGTGCTAAAGACTGTTTTGTGTGCACTTGAAAAGAATGTATATTCTGCTGTTGCTGGAGTGTTTTATAGATGTATGCTAGGTCTAGTTTGTTTATAGTGTAGCTCAAGTCTTCCATTTCTTATCTATTTGTCCTCCTTACTGAAAATAAAATATTGAAATCTCCACCTATTATTGTCTCTAATTTTAATTCTATCCATTTTTGCTTCATGTATTTTGGGGATCTCTTATTAGATTCATAGGAGCTCTGGTGGCATAGTGCCTAAGACATTTAACTGCTAACCAGAAGGCTGGTGGTTCAAACCTACCAGCTGCTCTGCAGAAGGAAGACTGGACAGTCTACTTCTGTAAAGATATACCACCCCAGAAACCCAATGGGGGTCACTATGAGTCAGAGCAGACTTGATGGCAGTGAGTTTGGTTTTTGGTTTTTTGAGTATTAGGTACATAAGTTTACAATTGTTATGTCTTCTTGATGTATTTACCTTTTCATCATTAAAAAATGTCGTTTTTGTCTCTGGGAATTCTGGTGGCGTAGTACCTAAGGCATTTGACTGCTAACCAGAAGGCTGGCGGTTCAAACCCACCAGCCATTCCTCAGAAGGAAGATGGGGCAATCTACTTCCTTAGAGATACCGCCTCGGAAACCCAAGGAGGGGTCCCTATGAGTCAAATCGACTCAATGGCAATGAGAGTAACAATTTTTGTCTTAAAGTCTACTTTGTCTCATATTGAGATAGACACTTTAGCTCTGTTTTGATTCCTGTTTGCATAGCATATCTTTTTCTATCCTTTTACCTTCATCCTTTTACTTCTTGTCTTTGAATCTAAAGTGTGTCTCTTGTGGACAGCATATGGTTGGATCATAGTTTAATCCCTTCTTTGCCTTTTAATTGAAGTGTTTAATCCGTTTACATTTAATGTAATTACTGATAAAGTGGGACTAAGAGCTGCCATGTTCCTAGTTGTTTTCTATTTTATATGTCTGGCGTTCTTTGTTTGTTCTTCTATTCCTCCATCATTATTTTGTGTTAAATAGATACTTTCTAGTGTGCCATTTTAATCCCTTGTTGTTTCATTTACTATACATTTTAGTTATTTTTTAGTGGTTTCTCTAAGAATTATAATTAACATCTTAATTTATAACAATCTAGTTCAAATTCATACCTACTTAATTTCAATTCTATACAAAGACTTTGATCCAATATAGCTTTATTCCCTCTTCCTTTGTTTGTTCTGTTGTTGTTGTTAGGTTCATCAAGTCGGTTCCAACTCACAGGGACTCTGTGTGCAACAGAATGAAACACTGGTCCTGCACCATCCTCACAAACACTGCTATATATAAGCCCATTGTTGCAGCCACTGTGTCAATCTTTCTTGTTGAGGGAATTACTCTTTTTCCCTGAACTTCTATTTTCTCAAGCATAATGTCATTCTCCAGGGACTCATCCCTGCTGATAACATATCCAAAGTATATAAGACAAATCTCGCCATCTTGCTTCCAAGGAAAATTCTGGCTGTATTCGAATGAAAGATTTTTTTCATTCTCCTGGAAGTCCATTGTATATTCAATGTTCCTTGCCAACACTATAGTTCAAAACCATCAATTCTTCTTCAATCTTCCTTATTAATTTTCCATCTTTTGCATGCATATGAGGTGATTGAAAATACCATGGCTTGGGTCTGTTGTACCTTATCATCTTCAAAGTGACATCTTTGCTTTTAAACAATTTTTAAGAGATCTTTTGCAGCAGATTTGTCCGATACAATACATCAATTGGTTTTTTGACTGCCGTTTCCATGGCTGTTGATTATGGATCCAAGTAAAATGAACTCTTTGACAACTCAATCTTTTCTGTGTTTATCATGATGTTGCTTATTGGTCCAGATGTGAGGGCTTTTGTTTTCTTTATGTTGAGGTGTAAGTTGTACTGAAGGCTGTAGTCTTTGATCTTCATCAATAAGTACTTCAAATCCTCTTTGCTTCCAGCAAGTAATCTGCATGTGTCATCTGCATATCTCAGGTTGTTCATGAATCTTCCTCCAATCCTGTTAATGCATCTTCTTCATATAGCCCACCTTCTTGGATTATTTGTTCAGCATACAGATTGAAAGTTATTGTTGTTGTTAGGTGCTGTCGAGTCAGTTCTGGCCCAGAACTTTTTTTTTGTTGATGTTTTTTAGGATCTTTTCTGACTTACAGTGAACCTATGTAGAACAGAATGAAACACTGCCTGTTCCTTTTTTCAGAATTTTTACTTGTGTGTGATAATAATGATATTGTTTGATAATTTTCACATTCTCTTGGACCACCTTTCTTTGGAATGGGCATGAATATTGATTTCTTCTAGTTGGCTGGCCGGGTAGCTGCTTCCAGATTTCTTGGCATAGATGAATAAGCACCTCTAACACTGCATCTGTTTGTTCAAACATTTCAGTTGGTATCCGTCAATTCCTGGATCCTTGTTTTTGGCCAATGCCTACAGTGAAGCTTGGACTTCTTCCTTCCATACCATCTGTTCTTGATCATATGCCACCTGCTGAAATGGATGAAGATCAACCAGTTCTT